GGGAGGGCTCATGGAAAGTTCTGGAGACCAAGAGCTGATGTGAGCTCTTGATCATGTCCCCTTAGGCCTGGGAAGCTATTTAGTGAGGCAGTAAAGTATTGCCTCTTTGCTGGCTAGTTTGATGTCAACTTGACACAAACTACAGTCATGAGAGGAAGGAACCTCAACTGAGAGAATGCCTCCATAAGATTAGGCTGTGGGCAAGACTGTAAGGCATTTTCTTAATTAGTGGTCAATGGGGGAGGGCCAGCCCATGGTGGGTGGTGCCATCCCTGGGCTGCTAGTCCTGCACTGGCCAAAAGAGCAGGCTGAGCAAGCCATGGGGGAGCAAGCCAGTGAGCAGCACTCCTCCATGGCTTCTGCATCAGCTCTTGCCTCTGGGTTTCTGCATTACTTCTTTTGATGATGAACAGCGATATGGAAATATAAGCCAAATAAAACCTTTCCTCCCCAGCTTGTTTTTAGTCATGGTGTTTCATCAAGAAAATGACAACCCTGACTAGGACAGCCTCTGTCCAGCTGTGTCAACAGCTGTCAGCTTCTGTCAGAAGGTGTACTGCAAAAACAACATTCCTCCCCAGATTCCTCCACCAGTGAATGACAGGGCAGTGTGAAATCTAACCATGACAGATTATGCGGAATCTGCACAGACTTGCCAATCTTTATCCCACTGAAGTTAGCCAGGGAGTTGAAGGGGCTCAGCCTCATCCTTTATGAGAGTGACCTCTTCACCCTGCAGCAACCAAGTACTCACAACAGAAAACAGATGCACATGTTCATCCAAGTTAAGCATGTACTTCTGCATAATAAAATACGGTTTTGTTATTGTTGTGTTTTGTTTTTCTGAGACAGGGTCTGAAACTCACTACATAGGCCAGGCTGGCTTTGAAATTGCAGTAATCCAGCTGCCTCTGCTCCCCAAGTCCTGGAATAAAGATGCATCAACACTCTTAGATTTTTTTTCTTAATCAAAATCCCCAAACATATGTATATATTAAAAAGCAAAACAGGCTGGTGATAGTCCAGTGGCAGAGAGCTTGCAGAGCACACAAGGCCCTGGGTTTGATCTCTAGCACTGTAGAAAAACACAAACCCACTGGGTGCATGCCTATAATCCCAGCACTTGGGAGGCAGAGACAGGCAGATCTGTGTGAGTTCCAAGACAGCCAGGACTACACAGAGAAACCGTGTCTCAAACAAACAAACAAACAAACAAAACCCCCAAAGCCCCAAACAAACAAACAAAAAATCAAAAGAAAAAGCAAATCAAAAATGCAAACCCTATGGTTTAAGGCAGTACCTACAGCTTCCCTGCGTTGGTCCCAGGTCTGTGGTCTCTAGAACTGTCCTAGCACAATATCCTCAACTTCCTCTTCCTGAACATAGTTTACTGACTCACTGTACTCATATTAGTACCCCATTCCTCAGCTTTATGTGGAAAATGTCTATGTATGTGGGGTAGGTGATGGCAGTGAAATTCAGACCTTTCCACCTGCTACACCACAACATCCCATGAGTCTTGACCACTCTGGGTAACATCTTTCTGTTGAGGCGCTCGCACGCACACACAGCCCCCCTCCCTGTCACACACCTCACAGGCACTCTGACCACCTTACTCGCCCGTTATACTAGACCACTAGCTGTGCTATGCTGGTGGACAGGGCACTTATGTTCAAAGCATCAACACCAGGCTGTGTATTGAGGTGGGGATTGTATGTTCTACTCTGTGCTTACCTGGTGCAAGGAAGTAAAAAAAATACAGGTCTAGGAGCTTTCCACTTTTCAAAAACAAAAGATTCCTAGTGCAGTTGGACTAGCATGTTTCTAAGCATGTCTTATTAAGACAGATACACTATGTCCCAGCTCAGTGGCACAGCACACGGGTTCTGCAGTTCCCTTAGAAACACAGGCAGTGTACACTCAGAAAACCCAGCCTTACAAATGCAAAGAACAAGTCTTCTGCTTTCAGAGACAAGTTCTTGTTACACAGTACTGGCCTGGCACTCACTCCCTACAGAAATCCTCACACCTCAGCCTCCCAAGTGAGGGACTGTAGGTGTATGGAGATGGTGTGCCGTTTTGAATGTAATTGGCCCCAATAAGCTCACAGGAAGTGGCACCACTGGGAGGTGTGGCTTTGTTGGAGGAAGTATGTCACTGTGGAGGCATCACGTCCAGTACCTCAGCCTACTTCCTGTTGCCCATGGGTCAAGATGTGGGAATCTCAGCTCCTTCTCTAGCACCATGTCACCTGCATGGCACCATGTTACACCAGGATGATAATGGACTAAACCTCTTAACTGTAAACCACCCCAATTAAATGTTTTTCCTTTTTAAGAGCTGCCATGGTCATGCTGTCTCTTCACAGCAGTAGAAACCCCTAACTAAGATAGATGGCTCAGTGATTAAGAACACTTGCAGGGGATGGGGGTGGGGGGTGTCAGCTTCCAGCACCCACATGCTTGGCTCACAACTGTAACTCCAGTTCTAGAAAACTCATCACCTACCTTGGGCCTTCATGAGCAGTAGATACACACATGGTACACACACACACACACACACACACACACACACACACACACATAACTCTGATACATAAAAATAAACAAGCATTAAAAATTCCTGATAATGATAAGAAATTGTTCTCCTATTCTTTAGGCAATTGCAAATGTAGTCAGTGTCACCCAGTGGGCAAATACAGCACTGGGGCAGGGATGGACTTCAGAGGAACAGGGAAAGAACACCCATTACCTGCAAACCCTCCCAGAGGGTGTGCAGTAGTAACAAATAAACTAGAAGACAGGGACCATCGCCAGCAAACACTCAGGCATAGATTAAAACCAAAGTGGCACTCATGGTTCTGGGGACTGACCCTGAGTCTCCTCATGCTGAATATGTGCCCTGCTAAACTTCCAGAACAAACTCTGACTGCAACAGAAGAAACCTTACCTTCATACAAGTCAGATACGAGAAAAACAAACCAACTTAGCATTTTAAGTTTTAGTTGAAAAAGAAATAGTTCATGAAAGAGTTCTAGCAAATTACAATGAAAAGCCCCTTTAGCAATCTTAGGGGACCTCTTCCAAAGCCATTAAGTATTTTTAGACTCTCATGTAGCCCAATCTGGCCTCAAGTTTTCTGTGTAGCTGAGGATGACTATGAGCTTCTAATTTTCTTGCTTCTACCTCCTAAGTGCTGAGAGTAGAGGCATTTGTTTCCACACTTGGACCTAAAACCTCTGACTGTAAACATACAGCACATATATCTAGTGAATGAGGGACCACAAATGAATGGGGGGGCATGGAAGGTTTATCCATAAATAATAAGCAGATTTGCAAAATGTGCTATGGGTGAGTTTGAAATGTATGCATAAATAAATTCTGGATTCATAAAACAAGGGGCCGTGCAGATGACTCAGTGGATAAAAGCTCCTGCCACCAAACCTGAGGACCCGAGTTCAATCTCCAGGATCCACCTGGTGGAAGAAAAACTCATCTCTACATGCATGCAGTTTCACTCCCAATAAACAAATGTAGTAATAAAAACATTAAGAACACATTTCTAAATATTAACTTATGGCTTGTGCTTATAATTCCAGCATTTGGGAAGTGAGAAGAGACTGTCACTTAACTCAGGGTGATTTGGGAAACAGAATGAACTTGAGGCCAGTCTGTGACACTCAGTAAGACATTGTGCCTCAATAAACAAAGATTTAAATGTTAACTGAAATACAACAGGGATTTAAAATTAAACAGCACCGGATTTTTCTTTATTTTGACAGAGACAAGGTTAAAACTTTACTGTCTGTTAGTTTTTGAAATTTTAAGAACATATATTTTTTACTACCTTATAAGGCTGATCATTCATTTCTCCTAACCTAGATTATTTAAAGTAAGTGAGATAAATGATTCATAAAACTGAAATAACTTTAGAAGTGGTGAAACATTCTGCTTGTCCACTGTTATGAGAGTTACAGAAGCAGCAGCAGTGTGGGTAGTGCTGAGTGGGGCACTGGACTAAATGTGAGTTCTGAATTCTCTGTCTTTGGCTATAGAAGTCATGCATGCTTAACAATAAAAAATCAGAATTTTGGGGCTGGAGAGATGGCTCAGAGGTTAAGAGCACTGACTGCTCTTCCAGAGGTCCTGAGTTCAATTCCCAGCAACCACATGGTGGCTCACAACCATCTACAATTCAATCTGGTGCCCTCTTCTGGCATGTAGGCAGAACAGTGTATATATAAAATAAATAAATAAACCTTAAAAAAAAAAATCGGAATTTTGGGCCTAGTTTTCCATAAAAGCTGATCTTTGATTTCAGGCAAAAACTATGAGACACTATTGTTTAATTATTATTTATTTGTATTATGTAAGCCTTCCCATGGAAGTAGGTGGGGTTACCACCCTGTCAAATAATCCCTGACACCATGGTGTAAGGGTCAAAGATCAGAAGGCTCCTGAGAAGTCACTGCCTGTGGTGTCACCGTGGCTATGTGATGCTCTTTGCCTGCAGGCCACAGCAGCCAGGATAGCAAGGATTCTCAGGAATAATAGACAATCAGAGAAAGACTGAGTTGGGAGACCTCAAAGACACCCCGTGAAACAGTGTCCACTGCCCAGCATAGCCCAGTGTGAACCTCTCTAGGGAAGCTACCTCAGTTTAGAATGCAAGGATCCCACAGACCATGGTCAATTACAAGCTCCAAGGAAAGGGCATCTCAATCTAGAAAATAACTATGAAGGCACAAGGATGGAATCACAAAACACAAGCAAACCATAAGAGTCTATAAAAACGACTAGGAAATCAACAGTTAAAATGAAAGATATAATTATATTTAATGTAGCTAGAGATAATTAATATATATGCTAATATAAGGATAAATTATACTGAATAATGTATATAGAAATCAAAATATGAAAACTATATGAATTAAGAAATATTAGCTGGGTGTGGTGGTATGTGACTTTAATTCCAGCAGTCTAGAGGCAGACAGATCTCTTAGTTCTAGGCCAATTTAGTCTAATAGAAAATTTCAGGCTAGCTAGGGCTACATAGTGAGACACTGTCTTTAAAAAAGAAAAAAAGGAAGAACGAAAAGAAATATGCAAAACAGGAGACTTCAAGCATGTAAAATCTTTGCTGTCAAGCTTTATGATCTCAGTTTGATCCCCAGAACCCACAGTGCAGAACTGACTCCCTAAAGTTGTCCTTTGACCTCCAATGTGTGCACGTACGCACTAGCATGTACACACATACTGATTAATTTAAAGAAAAGAAAAAAAGGAGAGAGGAGGGCGAGGTAGCAGAGGTTAGGAGACTTAATGCCCCTGCATAGAACCAGCACTCAGTCCCAGAGCCCACATCAGGGGACCCTGGGGAGCCCAGGCTTTTCTTTAGACATGTGGTGTACATAAACTCATGTAGGCGTGCACACACACACACAAATTTTAAAAAGTAAAATAATATGTGAATGAAATAAAGAGGTTTGACATACATTGTCAGCATCCTACAAACAAAGAATGAGAAGACAGAGAAGGGCAGGGTGTAAATATAAGGTCACTAAAAGTCTTCTAGAACTGCTTAACATGATTTATTAAAGCCTAGTGTGGGGACACACATCTGTAATTCCTGTACTTGGGAGGCCCAGGCAGAAGGACTGCAAGTTTTGTTTTTGTTTTTACTTTTGTTTGTTTTTTATTGTTGATCTTTTGGAGACAGGGTTTTTCTGTGTAGTCCGGGCGGCCTGGAATTCATTCTGTATACCAGGCTGGACTAACTCAGAGATCCACCTGCCTCTGAGTGCTGAGATTAGTATGTGTGTGTATGTGTGCGCATATACACACTTGTGGAAGCCAGAGGTCAGTGTCAGGTATCTTTCCTTAATTTTTCAGACAAGATCTCTCACTGGGGCCTGGGATTCACTGATTATGCTGGACTAGCTGGACACTGGACCACATGGATCCTTCGGTCTCTGCCTCCTCAGTGTGGGCATCACAAATTTGTGGCACTACAACTGGCTTTTTTTTTTTTTTTCTTTTTTTCCCCTGTTTTTCAAGACAGGATTTCTCTGTGTAACAGCTCTGGGTGTCCTGGAACTAGCTCTGTAGACCAGGCTGTCCTTGAACTCAAGAGATTTACCTGCCTGTCTCCCTAGTGCTGGGATTAAAGGGGGCATGCATCATAACCGCCCGGCTACAGATGGTTTTTAAAATGGGTTTTGGACTCTGACCTTGGCTCTTCATGTCCATGCAACAAGCACTTCAGCAGTTATCTTACTAGTTCCTAGTAAGAAATGATCTCATTTCTCCCTTCAAACCCTCCCATATGCCCCTCCTTGCTCATTTCAAATTCACAGCTTCCCTTTTCACTAATTGTTACATGTATATATGTACATACATATACATTCCTAAATATAACCTATTCAGTCTGTATGTCACTTGTAAATGATGTTTTGAGGGCTGACCATTTGGTATTGGATAACCAGCTGGTGTGTTCTTCCTTGGAGAAGACTATTTTCCTGCTCAGCATTCCTTAATTGCTTATAGTTCTTTGTGTAGGGCTGAGGCCTAGTGGTCTTTCTCCTAATCACTTTGGAATGTCCTTGTCCAGTTCATGGTTAGGCAGTCTTGTTGGTGAGACTTTATGGGTGCAGCCTTCTGATACTATCAGGAGACACATGCTCACAGCAAACTCCCTGATCCTCTGGCTCTTACAATCTCTCTATCTCTTCTTTCACAATGTCCCCTGAGTCTTATGAGTGGGATATGTTTTATTCACTGGGCCTGGCTCTATAGCTGCATTTTGATTGGTTGTGGTTTTCTGTAATGGGCTCTATCTGTTGCAAAGAGAAGGGGTGAGGACTATACTTATCAAGCTAGACCCCAGAGAGGAGGTGGGTGTCCCTGTTTTTTTTGTTAATTGTGGTAAAATACTCACAACACAAAATGAGATCATTTCCTGTTACCCTACATATATCATACAATCCCTGAGCCAGCAGGATGCCATTCTGCCATGAACATGGGGCTATTGTGCCCCTGTGAGCTTTTCCAAGATGCTGAAACCTTCTCTGTCAGCCTTGTTGGACGAGCTACTGAAACATGGTTGTTCCTCTTAAGGCATCTATACTGCGCATCACTGCCCAAGTACACTTAGCAACACAAACACATCATTTTTTCCCAGCTAAATTGTCAGGTGTTTAAAAGTGTGTCTAGGTCATGGTGATTTTTGCATCTTCCTTTCCAGATGCTGGTCTGAAACAACTAATGGAACCCATGAGCCATGGGCTAATGTTCTGGTACCCAGACTCACCTGTTCTGGCTGGCAAAAGATGCCTGGTCTATAGGCAGGATGCTCTCAGGCCATGGGGCAGTTTGATTTGGAGGAGCTTGCTGTTGATTATACTGAGGTCCCCCCATGTTCATCTCTAACTCAGAAGGCCCTAAAAGAGGAAGGAGAAAGAAAAAAGAAAAACCTACAATATTGTATCATAATTTAGAAAGCACATATGTTTATTGTATAATAGCAAATAAAATTGCTGGTTGATGGAAAATGAGACAGCAGAAGCAGTAATGGGAGAAAATAAGACCATATAGTTCTGTTGTGAAGTACAATTGAAAGCAGTAAATACTAAGGTGAATGCCACCTGCCTCAGGGCATGTCCAGAATCCCTATTCTCTTACTTAAAGCTTTTGTCTGTATGGTACATACAGAAAATACACACACTCTCTCTCTCTTTTTGGTTTTTTGAGACAGGGTTTCTCTGTGTAGCTTTGGAGCCTATCCTGGCACTCTCTCTGGAGACCAGGCTGGCCTCGAACTCACAGAGATCCACCTGCCTTTGCCTCCTGAGTGGTGGAATTAAAGGCGTGTGCCACCGCCTGGCTGAAAATATACATTTTTAAAATATAAAAATTAGTAAGTATATGAATATAACTATGGTTTTCATGGCATACTTTAACATTTGTACAACAGTTTGCACATGGGCATTAACACAACTTCCTACTCACTTTCACATGTATCCTACAGCGCAAGACTTGTGCCAGACTCCACTGAGTGCCTGCAGATCAGAATGAAGAGGACCAGCTTAGGCCTCGCAGACATCCTACAAGGCACTGGGGAACAGAAGCGCTGCTCTAGACCATGTGCATTCAAGCTGTCACTACTCATACTTCAGTGAGCTCTTCCATAGCAGGGCATACACTCAGACACAAGTCTTTCTCTGAGGTTCCTTTTGTGGTTCTAAAGCAGCATGAGTTTTCATATCACTTTATTATCCACCGACCTGAACTCCACTATGACAATCTTCTATTGGGCTGAATTCATGGCTTTGTTGAATATACTCACAACTAGAGAAATTTAGCTACACACTAACCCTTAAAAAGCTATATTGGAAGTTCCAAAAGTGAGATGCCCTTCAGCAAGGACAATGAATAAATTAAATCTCTCTATATATTGGGCTGTAGTGACACACACCTTTTATCCCAGCACTCAGAGGCAGGTGGATCTCTGTGAATTTGAGACTAGCCTGTTTATATAGTGAGCTCCAGGACAGCCAGAGCTATCTGTCTGTCAGAGATAGCCAGAGAAACCCTGTCTCAGAAAACAAACAAATAAAAATTTCTATATACAAGACCCCTTATTGTGACTTTCATAAGCATCTTAAAATTGTCTCAGGTTAATTTTCCATAGAAATCTGGGTTTATATTTAACATTTTTTTATATTTAGCATTTTCAAATGACACAAATTCAAGTTTGGGAACCACTTACTACTTTGAGTACATATATAGAAATGTAAATTATAAATGTCACTCTCAGAAATATTTAGTGAAAACACACACAGCAATTCAACACTTATGGAAGAAATATAATGAGAGTTCTGAGGAGAAGTCTGCTATTCTGTCAGCACAATCTTGCATTTTGCTTCCTGTGAATAAATGAGCACTTCCTGTGCAATGTGTAACATCAAAGTTTACAAATGCAGACTTTTCAGAACTGAGTTAAATACAATAACAGAGGAAGGTCCTACGTCTGTGACAAAAAGACAAAACAAAACAAAACCAAAACAAAAACCAAACAACCAAGTGGAAGTTGTATAGAACACTGTTCTTTTTTCCCTTGAGATAGGGTCTCATTTAGCTCAAGCAGGCCTCAGATTTGCTATGTTGTTGAGGATGAGGAACTTTTGATCCTCCTGTCTCTACCTTCCAATTGTTGGGATTATAGGTGTGCAGGTATCCTGAGATAATTTTCAAGTGTATCATCTAATAGGCATCAATATGTTCAGTTGTATAACCAACCACCTGCCACATCAATACTAGCACAGTTTCACCTGCCCTAAAAGAAACCTTTGTCCCTAGGAGTCATGCCCCACATCCTTCCAGGCTTCAGCCTTAGGTGAACTCTACACATCATCTAGTGCTGTGTCATCAGTGAGACCTGGGGAAGAATGTGCCTTCACAGCCTGGCTTGAGGACCTCAGAGGAGCGGGATGACTGTGTAGAGTTTGACATTACAGCTGCACCACTCCACTATCTCTTAACCTTTAAGCTGTCATATGAATGCTTATGTACGTATGTGTACAGCATTCACACTGTGACATTCTAATGCATTTTGCCTCAGATAAGAATTATACAATAACTTTATGCTCCTACAAGGTTCTAGCAAAGTTCCATTCACACCAGAGTATGCCCTACAATACAAGCCAGAAGCAAGTCTGGAAGGATCTATGAGCTGACATTCCATTTCAAGAAACCATAAGGATAGCAAAGAGTACTCCACAGCCTTACCTATGTTCATGACCTGAGACTGAAGCATCTGTCTTTGGCCAGGCTGGCTGTTGGCTCGCATGGGGATGCTAGCTGTTGGGTTCCGAATCATGCCTCCTTGGATGGGCCGGTTCATGGCACCTGAAGTAGCAGCACAAGTGACTCTCACAGCCGAACTCTGTGGTGCCCATTCGCCAGAAGGCATGGTGGGCCGAGAAGTGTTATTGCCAATCATTCCTGCATGCAAGGCAGAGGAAGCTGAGAGATGCAGGCATTGAAAATAACGCATGAACAAACCAGACCTACCTACTAAAACTTGAACCATGACTGTAAACTGCCGTCGCCCAACAGAAAACACCCTCCCTGGGGCAGATATGGGCCCTTGGCTAAGAAATAAGAATTGGAAATTACTACAGTTTTCATGACATGAATCTGCTACTCTTCATGGTTCAGAAGAGCTGCTAAACTGTTCCTATGTGTACTTAGAACAGGTGCTGCGGCAAGTGGATAACCCCAACTTCCTTCCTCAGGAAGTGAATCACATTAGCTGACATACACGTCAGAGCCTTACTTTCCAAAAAGGAGATGAGGGGAGGAAGACAGGGGAAGAACTGACAGTCAATCCCATAATTACCAACTCCAGTCAGAGAACATCCCATAAAGCTTACGAAAGGTTTAAACATCCTCACATTGCTTTCAGTTTGCCAGAACTTGCTAAACTTCTGGAGACATTCAGGCATGTTCACCGTATGACCACTAAGCCAGGCTGTCATGCCACAGGCATACTTGTTGTGTGTGCACAGGATACCTTAGCATCAACTTCCATTAAAAAAGAATTGGGAAGCTTCAAAATTTACCAAGGGCCTCTAAGTGCTAGGAAAACCAAGTAAGACCTTTTGGACATAGTCCTCGAGGCTGAGGTGATTCCAGGCTCCTGGATCACTGTATTCTTGACTGCAGATGCAGAATGGGGTAGGGCAGGTGTGAGCAATTCCTTCTACACTGGACATTTGATCACATGGAACAATGAGCATTCAACATCACCAAGCAGGATTCAGGGTCTGTTCTATTATTACTCTAGGCTCTGGATATTGGCAATGCCCAAGCACTGGCTAAGACTTGCTGAAAGGGAAGCCCCAGAAATGACATCTCTTTACTTTGAAATATTGGATACAGGGAATAGAAAGACAGTGCCTTCTAATATACGCTTGTTTTCATTTACTTTATTTGGGTTAAGCAATTCCAAATTTGGTATAATTAACATGTGGACAGAACATGGGTCTTTGCTCACTCGTGACATGAGGATGTGTTGAGGATGATGAGTGAAGGAAGGGCAATGAGAGTTAAAAAAACTACAACAATATTAATACATATAGATTGTAGGAGGGTGAAATTATCTGTAACTCAACAATATTAGCGCAATGAGAATGGATGTTATTCCTTTGGTTATTTGTTTTTAGAAGCAGAGGGAGCCCACCATGTATTACAGCCTGGGCACCAATTGGTCCAGCCATGGCCAATTTAGGTAAGCCCATCCTCATGGTCCTAGGGTCCTACACAAGACTCTCCAACACCACAGAACAGCCTTCACTCACCCCTAGTGAATCATCAGCTACTTTTCTCTAAGGAATTTTAGATCAACAGTATTTCTATAAATGAGTATTTAAGAGCGACAAAGTGAATATGGCACTTTTTTATGAATGGATAATTTAATGAGGTAGTCAGTGCATGGCACATACATAAGTAAGAAGTCAATATTTGTTGAATGAATAAACTGATACAGTACAGCTCATGCTTCCTATGAATTCTTTCTCAGTAATAGGAAACAAAACATCCATCATTTCCCCTTTAATGGAACTCTGATCTTCAGTTAACTAAAATGGCAATGTACAGGGATTACAGAGTGAGCTAAAAATAGCAAGAACTAAAACACCCACAACTGTAAATTATTTTTAAATATCTACTTATTTCTATGCCCAAATCTTAATACATCATTGAGAGAAAGGAAGAAAGCTATAAATTATGAGCAGCTCTTCATTAGGGAAGCCAGCATCCTTCTAGATTTATAACAAATGCTGTCCCGAGGCACTGTGAGTTCAGGCCTGAATTCTACGGCAGCCAGGGAAGAAGTAGGGGTGGCTGGAGGATGTGGCTATAGCAGGTTAAGATCCATCTAGATCACAGACAACTTCTCAAATCTCCAAGAAGCCTCCATGAATTGGGGCTGAAGAATTTTGCTGGGCTGGCCACACTACTACTTAAAGTCATTATTGCTATGATAGTTTTGGAATGGGCTATGGTATCAAACCAATATGCTCATTTAATTTTGTCCTGACCTGAAGCTATTAAAATGCATTAAAGTTAGGAAAACCAGAAGACAAAAGCCAATAAAACAAAGCAAAACACACCAAAATCTATGGCTCAAGTCATCCTCCAACCTCAGCCTCCTGCATAGCTAAGACTACAATGAAAATGCAGTAAGATAGGCAAAGAGACCTTCACTTTTAACCCATTTCCCCCCCCCCCCCCCCCCCCCC